ATTTTATACTGGTTTACTTACAAAATTCATATACATTGTTTTCACAATGGATTTTTCCCCTTTCATTTACCCACCTATCAAATTGTGTGACCCTATGATTAAGCAATGCCCCCCACCCTGTCCATCTTCATGCATCTGCTCCCCCTTCCCCATCTTGAATCCTTGCACATATTCTACAAAAATGGTTTTTTAAAGTATCTGTCTTTATGGGACTGAGTTAGTTCATTTGGCATAATGCTCTCTAGTTTCTCCCAAGTCAGGTAGTAATTTACAAAATCATTGCTTCATGCATGCTGCATAGTATTCCATTGTATGAATGTATCATAATTTCTCAATCCATTCCATTGTGATTGGATATCTGGGCTGTTTCAATGTTTTTGTGATGGTAAATAACACTGCTATGGATAGTGGTGTCCAAATCTCTGTTTGTGCCTCAGTTCTAATTTCCTCAGGGTACAGTCTAAGAAGTGGAATAGCTGAGTCATATGGAATTTCTATGTTCAGCTTACTGAGAAAATGCTAAATTGCCTTCCAGAGTGGTTGTACCATTTTACAGTACTACCAACAACACATAAGAGCTCTTGTATTACTTGATATCCTGCTAAACTTTGCCACTGCTACTGGTTTTGAGATGGTATCACCTTGTGGTTTTGATTTTCATCTCTCTTATTGCCAGTGATTTTGACCATTTCTTCACGTGTCTGTTGGCCATCCGAATGTCGTCTTCTGTGAAAGTTTTCTGTTGGCCATCCGAATGTTCTCTTCTGTGAAAATTTTCCATGTCTCTTGCACATTTTGTAATTGCATTATCAGTCTCTGTCTTCTAGAGGTCCAGCAGTGTTCTGTAAACTTTTGTTATGAGAGCCTTGTCTAAGATGGTAATGAGTTCTTTTTGTTTGTTTTGGTTTTGGTTAGTTTGTTTTGTCTTCTCTCATCAGTTTTGCCCAATACACGGAGTCACTCAATTTTTGATGGCTGCTACCATGGGTGTCTACTATGGAGCTAAGTTAAATAAAATCTCTGACAAATTCAATATTTAAACCATTTGTTATGATCTTGTCTATTGGTTTGACTGTATGGATTTTAGTTTCTTTCATGCGGAAGTGTAACTAACTCTGAAGGTTTCCATTTTTTATCTTCGTCTGTAGGTAACACAGGCCCTCTTCACATTCAGCAAGCACTTTACATATATGCACAGATCTGTATCTACAAGATTCAGTGAAAAGCACATTGACTAAAGGTCACTTGAGTAGCTGATGCCAGATATTTGAGCATATATTAATTTATAAATTTGAATACACAATTATAGTAACAATTCTCCTGTTAGTACAAGCCCTTACCATTCTTCTCTATCTCATGTCTAAGAGCTTGCACCTTGATAGTGTACTTAAGTCATCAGAAAACCTTATTCCATTGATTTTTCATTTGGATAATAATATGTACATTTTCAATTAACAAAAAGGCATCTATTAAGTGCTTTTTGGTGTCTGGGAGTGCTGGACACTTTATGGATCAATTGAAAAGACCAAGTCTTAGCTTGCTCTTAAAATTTCACACTGAGAATTAAGGCAAATAGAGAGGACATTCATGAGGGCAGATTTAAACATGCCATCACAAAATGAGACAAATTAAAACACTAATGTTTTACCTATTGATCAGAGGAGTAGAACTGGTAAGGACAGATCAAAGGAGATCTGGTATTTGATTTTCCATGTGATATATTCACAGTAGGGTAAAATTTCAGGAGCTGTTTTTCTAAGGAAGGATTGTAAAATGTGGTGATTTAGTAGTAGCTATACTTTAAAATCCTCAAGAACAAAGATAGAAGCCAAAAATCGAAGCCATGGTTTTTCAATTGCTTCCGATGCATCTAAAAGTTGGACAATGAATTAAAGATGGCAAAGGAGAATCAATGCCTTTGGATTGCAGTTTTGCCAAATAGTATAGAATATATTATGAACTGACATATATAATAAATTTATTTTGGTGGAATTGTAGCCAGAGTGCTATATAGAATCAAGGATGGTGAAACTTTGTCTTATATACTTTGGGCGTGTTGTTAGGAAGGGCTAGTCCTTGGGAAAATGCATCTTGTTGGGAAGGGTAGAGGGTGAAAGAAGTAATGGAACACCTTTAGTAAGATGAATTGACATAGGTACTGTAGTAATGGGGTTGAACATGTGGATGACCGTGAAGATGGTGCAACATAGGGACAGGCTCTGATCTAATTTTCATAGGGGTGTTGTGACTCTTAGGCAACTTGACAATGCCTAACAGCAATAACACAACAATTAGCCTTACCACTTATTTGGCAAAAGATGCAATGCTAAGTTTAAGGTAGAGGAATGAAATTTAATTGACATGAATATGTGCTAGTGTAATTACAAGAAACACACACACACACACACACACACACACACACACACGGTGTTCTGGTGGCCTGGTGGCAAGAGGCTGTGCTACAATCCTGCAGGCACATGGTTCAAGGCCACCAACATCTCTGAGAAAGAAGAATGGGTAATCACTTCCCATGTAATTAACTGCCTATGAAAACCTGCTGGAGGGTTAGCTAGGGGTCAGTTCTGACTCTATTGTACAGAACAACATATGTACATTAATAATTCTGAATTAATCCCTGGTGTTTATAAAACAAACAAACATGCTAACCACTTTATGTGATTCTAATGTGTGGCATCTACTTCCTAAACAACATGCCTCCTGAAACTCTATGATAAAAATTGATAGTTATAGAAAGGATTCAGGCCTTTTGTTCATAGGATCGCTGTGAGTCGTGATCGTCTTGAAGGCAATCAATAACACAACAACAATGTACAATAAGTCTGGAGGACCATTGGATTACACCCATTTTTAATAATCTGAAGTTATAAATGTATTCTATGTATTTTTAGGTAAGAATGAAACCCATATACCTGAGGCTGACCTTTCACTTTTGAAGCTGATTTCCTGTTGGAGAGACCAGTCTGTCCAGGTAGGATACAATTCATGATCTTGAAGTTACTATGAAAGTATTCCTTGCTGACCTAGTACATTCACACACCCTCATATATAAGAATAGGGAGCTCTGAAGATCTTGTGAGCAAGAAATTGTACTATCAAACCCAAGGCAGACAGTTCAAATCCACTAGCTTCTATTAAGGAAGAAGATAAACTATCTCCTCCAGTGCAATTATTTGTTGCTGTTTCTGAGTCCTTTCTAGTTGAACCAACCCATTGCTGACTGTTCAGTGGATTCACGGTGGCAGTAAAACACACAGCAGATTGTTCACTTTTCTGCCATAGAGTAACTTGTAGATTTGAACCACTTAAATTTGTGTTGACAAAGCAATTCCTTATCACTAAGCTACCAGAGTTCCCTAGCTCACATGATTTACAGCCTCCCAAAATCCAATGCAGGATTCTGACTTGACAGTAAAGAGTTGAGTAGAGTACCCACAAATGAAAGTATTTTCACTTAAATATGCCCTGTTTTTTTTAATGTACTGTTGAGTCAAAATTGACTCATAGCTGACCCTCCAGTTGCTTTTCAGAGGCAGTGAGTCACATGGGAAGAGATTGCCTGTCTTTCATCATGTAACAGCTGGTGTATTCAAACTTTGTGCCTTTAGGTTTAGCAGCACAGCTCCTTACCACTAGGCCACAAAAACTCCCTGAAAAATGTCTTGATAGGACATTTTATGAAATAGACCAACAACTGACACAGAGATAAGGAGAAAGGGGGGAAATTACATAAACAAACATGGTCCAAGAGCAGAATGGAAGAGATTGAGAGAGTTCATGCTGTCCTACGTAATTTCAGTCTGAGGTATTAGTCTATGAGTTGATTTGAATGTGTCAAGACATATGGAACCTAGGGTTGTGAATTTTGTGATGTGTAATTGTATCTTAAGATTAGATAATCTCTGAGTTGGTTTAGAGATCAGGTTTTTACTTGTTTAAGGCTTCTTGGAATTGTAAAAGCTTACTGGGTGGACTTGTTCGTTAAACAATAAATATCTATGCATTGACTAAATGAATATCTGTTAGAAGTTGGGCAAAGTCCATGAGCTTGACAAATACTGGTTTTGAAAGATGAGAATAGCAATAGCTCCAGTAACAAATTGTTACTGTTATTTACAGGAAAGCAAACAATAAAAAAAAAAGTTAAATCACAGATTGTCTGTAGGGGTTGTGATAATAAAATATACAAATAGTCACCAAACTAATAGCATGCCTGAATTAAGTGAACTCCTTTGTATTTATTTTTCTTAACATATTGTTGTTAGTAATATGTGTTGTTTTTATGTGCTGTTGATTTGTCTGCAACTCATAGAGACCCTACGTACAACAGCTCTGAAGCCTGCCCTGTCCTGAGACAGTCACACTGACTCCAGCACACCAACCCCCATTTCCCCAGTTACTGTATCAATCCATTTCATCCAGGGTTTTAGTCTCCTACATCATTTCTCCTGGCCAGTCCCTCCTGACCATGTGCACAAAATATGTGAGACAGAGCTTCAAAACCCTAGCTTTCAAGGAGAAATTTGGTTTCACCCTCTCCAAGACAAACCTATTTGTTTTCTTGGTGGTCTGTGGTATGTTCAAGACTCTTCTCCAGCACCACACACAAGACATCATTTCTTCTTCTGTCATCCTTAGTCACTGTCCAACTCTCTAAAGCATAACAAGTAATTGTGAGAACCATGACCTGAATCAGGCAAACCTTGGTCTCTAGACTGACACTGGAGAGGTTCCTGACAGCTGATAAACCTAATGCAGTTCCTCTTTTGATTTCCCAACTGCTGGTGCCAAGAGTGTAGATTGTGGAACTGTGAAAACTGTAACTATTAACAATCTCAATCTCTTCTCTGTCCATCATGGTGCTGCAATTGGCTCAGTGATGAAAATCTATGTCTTCTTCAATTGAGCTCCAATCCATTTTGAAGACTACAGTCCTTGCCTTTCTGCAGCAAGTGTTTCATGTCCTCCTCAGTTTCAGCAAGCAAGGTTGTATCATCTGCATAACATAGGTTGTTGCTGAGTCCTTCCTCTAATCTTGATGCCACATTCCTCCTCGTAAAGCCCAGTCTCCCGAAAGATCTGTGCTGCACAGAGATTGAAAAGGGCTGGAGACAGGATGCATCCCTGACACACTTCCTTTCTGATTTTGAACCATGCAATGTTTCCCCACTCTGTTCTGAGGACTGCTTCTTGGTCTGAGTATAGGTGTCATATGAGCACAATCTAGTGTCCTGGAGTTCTCATTCTTCTCAAGCTTAACTACAATTTAATGTCATCCACCCAGTCAAATGCCTTTGCAGAGTCAATGAAACACAGATAGACATTCCTCTGGTAATCTGCCAAGATCCATCTGACATTGGTGTACGATATACAATATTAAAGCCATACTTTTCTAGTCGCAACTTCCTAAATATTAATTCACAGATGTTCAGTGTTATGATTTACTGTTCAAAATATTGTTCCATAGCAGACTACAGCCTGGTGGTCTACAACGAAGTTGGTTTTGACAGTGGTAAAGAATTGAGACTTGAACAATGTTCAACTCTAATGATGTATGACAATTGAACTGCTCATGCGCCTTGACAGCTGTTACCATTCTGACTTCATTGTCAAGACATTGACATGACTCATTGTAGATCGTGCCTATAGCATGATCTTTCTTGTTCACTGTGTTGTTCTTTAGGCAACATCAGTTATTCATGTGACACGAGGTATTTGATTTACGTCTAATTTGACTTAAAAGGGAGTCATTGCTGGAATGGATCTCTGTCATCCGTTAGGGACTACCTGCAGAGCTAGACTAGCTCTAGAAACATCCTACCATGGTCCAGATGGTCCTGTGGAAGCCCTTGATGATGCAAATGGTTCACTATTTGACTGACAGCTGAAAGAGTGGAGGTTTGAGTAAGCTTAGAGGTATTTCCGAAAGAAAACCTAGTGTCCACTTTCCACAACTCAGCCTCAGGAATCCTATGGTGCAATTCTCCCGTGGCACACAGGGGATTACCAGGAGTCAAAATTGATTTGATGTCAACTAGTCATTGCTACAAGTTCCTGCCTGATGTGCCCGCAGCCTGAACTAATCCTTCATCATTCTCATTATTATCTAGCTCCCCTGTGGTTTTACTAGATAGGACACAATGTTCAGTTTCACCTCCAAAATTTACTATACTCCCTACTAAAATTCTCTTTGTTCCTCAAATGTCTATGCCTCAGAGAAGACTTGTCTAACCACTCCATTTAATACTGCCACTGAACCCTCTCCACATCCTGTTCCCAAGAATCCTCACAGTGCCTTTATTTTCTGTTATATCATCTTTCAATCAGAATTATTTTGTTTGTTTCTTTGTTTTTGTTTGTTTCACCCCTCATTGCTTATTTTCTGTTTTCTCGCTGTTGGATAAGTGTCCTGCAATGAGAGCCATTGTTTACTGTTTCCCAGAAGCTGAGAAAAAGAATAGTGACAGTAATCAGTCAAGAAATACTTCATGAATATATGTGAAGAGTGTCTACAATAATAAAAACAAACATTAGTTCCTGCTGAATTTACCAATGTGTTAATAGTTCATATAAAATAGCCTGAGTTGAAGATGAGACATTTTTGCCCCAAGAGTAAAAATTCCTCAAGTTTGAAAAAATTAGTAGAACATTCATGCTGAACTTCTCTAAATATCTTTTATAGTTTTTCTTGACCACCAGATAAATTTTAAGGTGCTCTGGATATATTTCAGCTTAAAGGGCTGTGTTTCTAAGACTTTGTATAAAATACTGTCACTAGATAAAAGTATATTCTTAGGATGCTTATCATTCACTTAGAAGTCTGAGCTTCAAACTCCTCCTCTCAACTCTGGCACTAGTTTAGTGATTAACTGTGGAAGGCAAATTTACCTTCGTGATTATCTGTCATTCTCATACGTGAAACAGGAATGAAAACTCTTGGACCCTTTAGCAATACCAAAATCTTGCAAGTATCCTTGTAGATGCCTAATTAACTAGTTTTCAATATCTTCACAAAGCTCTCTATTTAAGTAATTAGAAGTATGGTATTAATTTGAGTTTATACTTTATTTAAAAAGCTTTTGGTAGTAAATAAAGGTCAGTAGTTGAAACTCACTAACCACTATTCATAAGAAGGATATGCCGATCTGTTTTTGTAAAGGTCTACACTGTGGAAACTTTGTGAAACAATTTTACTTTGTCCTATGGAGTGGCTATGAATTGGAATCGACTTGAAAGCAAAAGATTTGGATTTGGGGGTTTAAGTACTAATGGAACCCCTGAAGGTTTTCAGTTCAAAGCCACATACAGGTACCTGGAAAGACTGTTCTGACAATCTGATTCTCAAAGGTCACATCCTTAAAACTTCTATGGGGTCAGATCAACTTTGCACACATGGGATCACCATGAGTCCAAACCAACTGAAAGACAGTGAACAAAGCAGGTGGTGATGAGATTTGCTTGTCAAACAGAGCAGAATGCTTTGGGGAATTCAGTGCATACCTGTGAGGAAGGGAGTTGATTTAATGGATGCATGAGTTTATGTAGGGATTATATTTTTTTCATCCGCACATATAGTAAAACATAAAGATAAATGCTAGAAAAGAAACAGGATGGTTGTGGGGCTGTTAACGATCTTCTTTCTGGCACTTCACTTAAAAAATTCTAACACACACACACACACATACATACCTAACACATATAGGTGTAAACCATGACATCAGGCCTCCAAGGAAAAATACTGCTTTTTCAGGAGATAATGCAAGAATGCAAAAGGCCAGATGTGGATCTGAGCAATGGGAAAATGCTTTTACATCAGAACAATAGGTATTAGAATGATAATCAGGACATGAGATTTTCTTCGAAGAGTCTTCATGATGCTCTGTACTGTTTCAGAGTTTTAGTGGAAAGCCATCAAAAGCTTTAGCTTGCTTATGGCACAGCAGTATTTAGAGAGTAAGTATATGATACAGATTTGTGGCTGACTCTTTTAAATCAATACATTTGTAAACCTTATTTTGAATCACTGTGCATCAGTTCATAAAAGAGTACACTACTTTGCAAAAATAAAAAAATAAAGAGTATACTACTTTGCATGTGTATATTCTCAGAGAAACATTTTAAGTGCATTGGGAAGAAACTTTATAGCCAGACAATTCAATTCTAAGTTATCCTAAAGTTACGTAAAATTGTGTTTGAAGAAACTCTATCTCTACTGACTATCTGCAAAATTTATGTACTAAAACCAAACCAACCCCCTGCCATTGAATCAATTCCAACTCACCCCTAAGCTGAAGTGGCTCCCCAAGTCTGTGCATCTTTACAGAAAGCGATCCCTATCTCAAATATTGATGATTATAAATTGCCAATCAATTATACATCCCAGTTTATGTTAAAATGTACAGAGCTGATGTGAGTTTCACTTACTTTTATTTAGTGTCCACTATATACCAGAAGAATTCTGGTGGTCTAGGATATAGAGAGTCATGCTGTGAACCCATGGGCACCACCTCTGGCAGTTCATGTCTGTGACTCTGAAGGAGAAAGAGTGGTCACCTCTGCTGTGCGATTTACAGCCTCTGAAAACTTACTGGAGGTTCAGATATAAGTCAGTTCCAACATGACAGCAATGCGTTTAAGTTTGAATATACCAAATATTGTGATAACATGCTTTTTTTTTTAACAAACAATTTTGGTTTATTCAACTTTAAAACCATGAACTTGGTACTGCATTGAACTATGCTGTCCCCTTAGCCCTGGAAGTGAATTGCAGGCCAACCTCTTTTTTAGTGATATATGTATATTTGTATCTATATGTATATCTCTATCATCTATATCAATATAAATATAAATCTATATCGATATAAATACATCTGATAACATGCTTTTAAGATGACCATTTATCTATGGGTAGGGGTTGTGCTAAGTATTGATTTTGCATTGAGTCTAAGTATGTATTTAGAGTTTGCTTCCAAATTGATTGTGGTAAGCAATAGTAAACACATCTCATTCACTACCTCTTTTTACAACTTAACTATACATTTGTGTGCCAACTCTATGAAGATGGGAATAGTTAATGATCAGGAAGGTGCTCTGATACTTTTGGGAACTTGCCTGTGTTTTAAAGTTGGAGGGCCTGTTCCTTCTTCTACATACTTCACTAAATATCTACTGTCAGCATAAACTTTCTGGGGAACCCCAGAGCCTAAAGTCACATGACGCATAAAAGATATTTAATAGATGATTAGCTATTCTGCTGGGTTTAGAAGGGGTCATGGTACTAGGGATATTGTCGGTAATGTTAGATGGATCTTGGCTGAACGCAGGGAGTACCAGAGGAATGTCTATCTCTGCTTCATTGATTATGCAAAGGCGTTGGACTGTGTGGATAATAACAAACTGTGGCTGACTCTGAGAAGAATGGGAATCCCAGAACACTTGATCGTGCTAATACAAAACTTATACTTGAATCAAGAGGCAGTCATCAGAACAGAGCAAGGAAACACTGCATGGTTCAAAATTGGGAAGAGCGTATGCCAGGGATGTGTCCTGTCTCCATAACTTTTCAGCCTGTATACAGAATAGATTATCTGGGAGGCTGGGCTCTATGAGGAGAAATGTGGCGTCAGGATTGGTGGAAGATCTATTAACAATCTGTGTTATGCAGATGACACAACCCTCCTTTATGCAGGAGGACCTGAAGTGCTTGCTGCAAAAAGTCAAGGACTGCAGTCCTCAACATGGATTGAAGCTCAATGTTAAGAAGACAAAGATTCTCACCACTGGACCAATGGGTAGCATCAGGATGGATGGTGAAGAGATTGAGATTGTTCACAGCTTTAGTCTGCTTGGCTCCACAGTCAACACTCTTGGCACCAGCAGCCAGGAAATTAAAAGACTTATTGCGATGGGAAAGTCCGCTGTTAGGGACCTCTCTAACTTACTGAAGAGCAACGGTGTCTCTCTGGAGACTAAGGTGTGTCTGATACAGGCCATGACCTTTGCAATTACTTGTTATGAATCAGAGAGTTGGACAGTGACTAGGGAGGATAGAAGGAGAATTGATGCCTTTGAGCTGTGGTGTTGGAGAAGAGTATTGAGGGTACCATGGACTGCTAAGAAAACAAACAGATTCACCTTGAAGAGGGTCACACCGGGCTGCTCCTTGGAGGCAAGGATTCTGAGGCTTCATCTGACGTACTTTGGTCATGTTGTAAGGAGAGACCAATCCTTGGAGAAGGACATCATGCTTGGTTGGGAGGATGAAGGGCAGGCACAGGAGGGGAAGGCCTTCTGGGAGGCAGATTGATTCAGTGACTGGGGTAATCAGGATGAGTGTGTTGGAGACAATGAGATTGGCACAGGACAGAACAGAGTTTAGGGCTGTTGTACATAGGGTCACTATGAGTCGCAAGCGACTCAACGGCACTTAACAACAACATTCTGCTTTTTGCCACAGCATCTCCAGATCACGGGCATCCTAAGGACAGGCAGTGAAGAATACAAGTTCTGGATGTGCATCAGCTTGAGGGGAAGGGCAATGGGCCTGAGAATGGTGTATATGAAAGCCTTAACTTTTCTCCATTAAGAAGGAGAGCACTGTATCTCTCACATTAGTAATGAAATAAAAGAAAAAAATTCATTTTAAAAATTCTAAACATTACAGGTAACCGAAGCAATACAAGCTGTTCTCTTGGCAGAAGTTCAGCAGCACTTGAAAACATTGAGAGAGATCCCAATCAACAGTCAACCGACATCCACGGACAAGACAAATAACTGTGAGATGCTGCAGACCATGCCAAGAAAGGAACTGGCTGAGCAACTGGAGTTAGAATGCATGACAAACAGGCCTCTTCAAAGTAAGTGCAAAATTTATTGGTGTTATTTTTGATGAGAATTTATTCTATTCCTTAGGATACACTGAGAACATCATTTCCATAAGAACCAAACCAAGTATCTTGTTTCTGATTTACTCTGCTGCCAATTTCCTATTAATATTGCCATTCTTTCAAAGAACTTCCAAATATTATAATAATAAATATGTATTTTCTCAAAGACAGAAGTATAACATGTATTTAAAAATGTTTGAGATAACAGGTTAATGAAAATAGTTAATAGCTCTCTGGGATGCATGTTATAAAAATACCCTGATTTTATTAAGTCCTTTTTTTAAATTTTCTTTTCTACTTTGAATGAGATGGATTGACAGTGTGACTTTGGTTCTAATGTTTCAGAGATGATGAGGCTGACACAGGCTAGGGCAGCCTTCAGGGTTTGATAGGGTCACTGGGAATAGTTGTACTCAACTACATAGTACCTAACAACAACAATAACCATAACAGTTATTTGTCAAATCTTCTTTACTAGAATGAGAGGGACATTAAACCGGTACAGGACATTAAACTAATTTTGATTTTTATAACAAATGTTATTATCATTGTAACTTCATAATGAAAATGTTCATGGTTTATGGATAGTAAGTAAACCTAAATTTCTGCTTTAAAATTTTATCTCATTTTTAAAGCCCATTAGCTATAATTTTTTAATTTTCAACTTCATTAGTGATCTTTTGAGGAAGAAATTAATTTCCCATATGAGTGAATGAGTATGTTTGTCTGGAAAATATGTTATAAGCTTGTATATTCTACATAGCTAAAAATTTTCAGTACTTCTTATAACTCTATAAAAATTATTTTATTCCTGCTTATTTGTGACTCAGAAACTTTACTCTCTGTGATATGCATAGTCATAGTACTAGTATCATTTTTATAAATATGCTTCTTAAAATGATGACTAGGGAATTGAAGAATGACATATGGTGAGAGCTGATGTATAACCAGAAAATTACCATTTATTTATTATTAAATTATTAATTGAAAAGGAATTAATTCAAAATTTATTATTAACTAATTATTCAAAAATCAGCAGAGGTAGGATATTTCCTAATGTGTGGTTGTCACCTACTAAGGATGGTAAACGAAATAAATAATCTGATTAAGTTGGATGGTCATTTCAGGTCTCTTTTTGTTTGTCTTTGTTTTTCAAGAAGTTAGTTTGAAAAGACAACTGGGAAATGCACCCATTTGCGGGACAATTAATTTTGATCACAACATGTCATTGTAAGAATATTCTACTTTTCAAGCAAATATTGGAAAAATTATTTGAAATTAATTTTCAAGGGATTCCATGTGAGATCTTGAATTTATATAGAAAGCCTCAACCCATTGTCATTGATTAATTTTTCCAAATCATAATAAGATGATGATGACCTCTTCCTATTTCACAAAGACAGCTATGTAATTTGTCTTGGTTTGTTTTTATTAGGTGGCATTTTCGAGATTCATTCCTAATCTCAGGAGTGTGCCTTGTTCATTAGCTCTCTCTTCTGACTGAGGAGTTCTTGACAGGCTTTCATGATAAAGTTTTACAGGAATTTTAATATTGTACAGCTTACTAATATTTTAAATTTCACCAGGTTGGATCTAGTTCTGTCCTTAGTTCATTCTTGGGTTTAAGTACTATTGATACTGTGGAATTTCATCTTGCTTTGACTAAGGACAGGTAAGTTTGGCATAATATTACTGTAAAATCATCTACCAGTGAATGCATAGCTGACTGCCAAGTGGATTTTCTAGAGATTGCCATATCTGCTAATACTGTTGAAAACGGAAAGTTAATTTGTGATTGAAAATTTGAACACCAAAATCACAGAGTTACATTAACTCCTGATGAGTGAAATGTATTTTTATTTGAAAGCATAGTAACATACTCAGAAAATGCTAAGTGTATGTTTTGTTGGGAATAACTATAGTCA